TTATAAATTGTCGAATGTTCACTATCGAGTTTTTATATCTTTCTTTAATTCTCATATTAAGAAATTCCAAAATAACCATTTATAATAATAATAATAATAATAATAATAGATTTTTTATAAATATACGGTGGCTATTTTTTCAAACGTATAAACAAAAATGAAAAACGGAGAAAAAAAGAACAGCCAAGTTAGTCATATATAAATTTGTTTATCACCTCTTTCTTCTCTTTTTTAATAATAATAAAACTCTAAATTATATTGATTTTTGTAATACTTTTCTTCCAGCTAACTGAAAACAAAAAATGTATTCTGGCTATTGGGAGATCAGGGAACGGAAAAAGTTTTACGGCAAAAATTCTTGGAGCAGATGATGCGATAGTATCTGATGGTGCAGATTCATGTACCAAAGGAACCATGTTATATACTTGTGGAGATAATGGTTTCCTATACATTGATACGCAAGGTTTTGATGACTCCGAAGGAGTGAAGGGTGGCGATGCTCAAACGGCTTTATCGATTCTCAAAACTATGAATGAAAATGGTATCACTAAACTACACACAATTCTTTGGTTTGTTGTTCCTGAAACTCGTAAACTCGGATCTTTAGTTCGTCAAGCAAAATTCATCGAATCACTTGCCCAATATTATGATGGCAATGTTTGGGATAATGTGATTATTGTTATGAAAGGTCAAAAGTCATCCAAATCGGCTTCCCAAGGTCCAATTGAAGCAGCAAAAGAAGTATCAAAAAAAAATTACGAAAATAAAAATATTAAGGTTTTTCATATTTCTTTATATGAATATCTTGATACAGATACATACGAAACTTTTGATGATGATACACTTAATAAAATGGGGTAAATAAATAATTTTTATGTTAATTGTTCAAAAGTTATTTTATAGCGATTAAAAAAAAATCTTTTTTTTATCTTAAAATTAGGATTTTCAAAAAAACGGAACCAAAAAAAATCTTAAATCGGTATATTGAATTAATGAAAGGCCATGATCAACATCTTGTTACAATTCTATTTAAGGAAGCAAAATGCTTAAAATGTCCAGAAGAGAATGATCCAAGATTAACAATTTCCAATTGTCATGGTGAATCGGAAAGAAAACATGAACATCCTAAAAACGTTCATACTGGAAATACTTATAAAAAGCATTCTCTTGGCCTTTCTGGTTACCATCCAGGTAATTTAGTAAAACATCATCCTGGTGGGAAAATTAAAATACATAAATTTAGTTCCGTTACACCATGTCATACTGGTCAAAAAATTGAATACCATCCTAATGAAAATTCGGTGCATCCATTAGTAGCAGTAGGACACCAGTATGAAACTAATGATAATAACGTACTTCCAGTAATTGCAAGAGCTTTAACATTTTCACTTGTTAATCTACAGAGAACTGTTCATACTCCAAAAATTCATGGATGTTGTGGTTGGGGAGAAGGTTCAGATGGCTGTTCTTATGCTTGTTGTAAACAATCAAAGGGCAGTATTGGATGTAGAGAAAAATATAATTGTTGCAATAATTTCGAACCTTGTGTAAAAAAACATGATTGTTGTAATCAGATAGTAGGAGCAGACACTAATGGATGTGAAACAGTTTATGATTGTTGTCAACGAGAAGATAATAGTGAAGGCTGCAGAGATCGTCATGACTGTTGCAGACAAATGACAAAGTGTAGGAAGAAATATGATTGTTGTGGAGTTGATTCTAATAATGGTAATAACGGTTGTAGAGATTATTATTCATGTTGTGGCATTGAAGTTGGTAACAATATTGGTTGTACACCTGTTTGCAATGGTTGCTCTAATGATTTAAATTCTCCCGGGTGTATGGAAATTTGTAAATTTTGTCATAAAGATCCTCAAGAGGGATCTTGTACATCAAATTTTTATAAACATGATTTCGGACCTGATGTTCCTGAACCAGTTATCTGGTAAAGATTTATAAGTTTAAACAAAGAGTGTTAATATTTCTTGGTTGATTGGATGCCAAGTAGATAGCATTCAGAAAGGAACATTAACGCATAATTCAGATGACATTTAATATACATTTGTTATTAGGATTATATTTTATATGTATAAACTAAAGAAAATAATAAAATATAATTTTATTAAATACTTTATATCCATATATACACCTGCAATGTCGATTAATAAAAATTCGCAATTTAATTATACATGCAGTCCAAATAGTTTTTGTCAACGATAAAAAAAATTTCTCTTAACGTTCATTTCATTACTTAAAATGAATGACAAAGACAAAAACACAATATTCGTAATAAAGAAAGTGTTAAGTTTAGAGACCTAGCGTCGAATAATAATATTATTGGTAGTAGTTGCACTTGCTGCCATCATTTTGTCAAATATTGAAGGTTAAAATCATTCTCATAATACCAAACTTCATCGTCTAATCTCACTGTCAAATGACAATTCAGATCTACCTTTTGAACCAATCATTATTCCATTAAAATCTTTAAGTTTTTTTTGTGTTCTAGTGTCATTTAAAAACTTAAATGATTATTTTCTGGCGTTTAGGAGGCATTGTTGAACTTTACTTTTATGTTTCAATAATGGAAGTGAAAAATAAAAGATTACATACACCAACGCGCGTTAAAATAAATAATTCCAATTTAACTTCCTAACGTAGTAAAATCAACATACTAAAAAGGAATAAGACTTCGCAACAAATATTTTTTTCAGAAAATCTTTAAACCTCGAGAATTCGGATATCAAAATTTTGTGAAAGGTATCTGAATATAACCACTAGATATTTGAGTGACAAAAGAAGTTTAAAGTCAAGTATCTTTTTTCTTTTTTGGTGGTATAAAATTGATTTTTTGATTTTGAAATTAAAAAAAATTGCCTTTACTATTATAGAAATAAGATTTTTTGTACAAAATCTACTTCATAAATTGGCGTGATTCTTCAATGATAAGACAACTTTTGTTATTTGGTAGCACGACGCGATGTAAAAATTAATATTAATAGTGTCATCTCTCGGGGACTAAAATGATCAATGATCCAAGACAACCACTTGGTCTTCCGGGAATTTACAAACCATCACCTAAATCCTTGCAGGAAACTCATGGGAGACACACCTTCACTCGATGGTAGAGTTATTTATGAATGATAATCGATTGAAAGAATTAAAAACACCTGGGTTGGGTGACAGCTAACGATATTATTAATTAATTAATTAATTAATATTTATATTTATATATGCATATACGACTAAATTTTTGAACTTTCCATATAATGATAATAACATAAACTTCTGCATAAAATTCCACCAACAATTATTGTTGGAATATCCTATTTAAGATCAAGTGACCACAATTTCCTTGCAAAAAGTATAGCGACTAATAATACTAATACCAAGTGAAAATTTCGAGCCCCATATTTAATTATTAATTTCAATGCAACATCCTCATAATCATCTATATCTTTTACATTGCCTTTAACACAACAAAATATAATAATAATGTCTGTTATTATTATATTGAATTCGTAAATTTGTCAGTGACATTGACACTTTAAGTAGAGTGCCCACAACAGTATTAAATGATGGAAAATATGTAGATTTAGAATACAGGGCCTTAAGAAAATCTACCCAAAGATATACAATTGACATTAAGTCAATATCATTGTTTTTGAAAAAAATATTAACTGTTGATTTCATTTTATTTTAATAATGAATAGCCTGTAAGTATTTTCATAATTTACTATTACTACAGTCAATATCATTGCTTTGAAACATATTAACTATAGTTTTCATATTATTTTAAATAATAATAGGTAGTAAGTATTTTCATCATTTACTATTATTGCAGTCAATATCATTGTTTTTGAAATTAACTGTTATTTCATTTTATTTTAAATAATAAATAGTGGGTAAGTATTTTCATAGTTTATTATATTTTAAATAATAAATGGGAAGTAAGTATTTTCATCATTTACTATTATTGCAGTCAATATAATTGTTTTTGTAAACATATTAACTGTTGGTTTTCATTCTATTTTAAATAGTAAATAAGGTAGTATTTGCTCTTTAGTTCTTTTGATAGCTTTATTTATTACTTTAAAATTTTTGACAATATAAATTGCATTTTTCTTTTACTTTTATCTTATATTGATGTTTATTTTTCATTTTTGGTTATAATTTTTACGTTGCGTAGGTTTCATGCAAATTATAATGATTATTTTACAATATACATATGTAGCGAAAATAAATAAAACAATTCATACATAAGTGTTTATTATAATTTGAGAGATAAGCAAGGTTTACGTGTCAACGTAAATGGAGAATAAAGTTACGTCCAATAAAAGAGTAAGTAATATTATTATTAATATTAATACTACGAATCGAAATACCTTTTATAATAAAACTTAAGGTGAACTAAAATACGTTAATTTTGCGCTTTGTAACATTCCGTACGATGAATCTGTTATTATTATTATTATTAATGATTTTTTTTTTTGTTTTTTCAATTTACTAACGTTAAGTTAAGCGGAAAGTCTGTGTTCAGTCAGTTAATTCATGAAAAACCTTGTCAATCTTGATCAAAGAGATATAAATAAGGAAATATTTTTGCATAAAAACATCATCCGTTCTTACATGTATTATTATATTAGCTTTAGTTTTAAACATTCAAATTTTTAATTTGAATTGGATAGAGTTAAAAGTAATTATTATTATTATTGATATATTTAAAAACATTAATATTAATAAGCGAATATGGTACGGAGTATATTTTTCCATGTTCTATATTGATACGTATTCATATTAATACAAATATCAAAATGTGTTTTTTCCACCAAAAATACGTTTTTCCACATTAATACGTATCCAGTATTAGTATCTATTTAGCACCTAATTTTTATAGGACATATAGATTTGTTGAAATGAAATTTCCAATTCGTCTATCAATCGGAGCAAATGATCTACATTTAATAGTAATAAAACATAAAATTAGAAATCACAATTAACTTATGAAGTCTTCACAAAAACATAAACCTCAACTTATTGCTGTTGGTAACTTGTTCCAACACTTCATTGTGACCTATTCGTTGTAAACTGGGTGGGCTTTCAATAATTGAAAAATGCCTGAAGGAGAAAAACAAACATGTGTCCCTATACATTTAAATATGAATGTTCAATTAGAACTCATGAGACAAAATTTATTATTCGTGCTGTTAATGGAAATAATAATACTTCTTTTTTGAATTTCACTTTTTCCTGTTACATCTCCTGTAATATCTGATTCATAAATATAGCCTGGCCTGCAATGAATTTGAAATTATAAAAAAATATATTTTGAAATTTTATTATGTTTTAGTCTATCAAATCTTCCTCTATAACAATGCATTCTGAAATTTTATTTGATTATGAAAATTTTTTGCTGAGTGAGAGGTCTGACCAAACATTTTATGATGATCATGTCATTCTTGGAATGGGTTAATTGATTCAGTCATGGATGGTGGTGTCAAAACTGTGACCTGCCACCTTGAATGGATATGGCGGTCCAGACCTACTGATCTATGGCATCGCCATAGCTCAATTCCACTCTTTTATTAAATAAAATTAGGTTTTCAGTACATATGTTTACATAATAATTTGTTAAAAATTTCACTTCTATTTCTATTGCTACTATTACTATTGTTCCTACTTCTAGTACTAGTATTATTATTATTAGTGTTGTTGTTGTTATCCTCATTATTGTTTCTATTAATAGATCTATTATTACTACTATTTCTACTGTTATTCTTATTATTTAAACCTTTCCATTTTCTGCTCCATTGTAATTCCTGTTTCCTTTTCCCATTCTATGATACTATCACATCTCACTTTCCATATCTTTTCTTTGGATTTTCCACATTATGAAAATTTTTTTGTCTTTTTAAAAACTAGATTTTATTTTATTCTTTCACATGATTTTTAAGTTTCATTACGCATTTAGAAGTTTTTATATGATGATCGCCCCAAAATTTGTTTAAATGCGACTCGATTTGATTCGTTCGGAGCCTTAGTAATTGGTTCCCATAAAATCTATTAAAAGTACCCGTTTATTTTTTCTTTTGAATAATACCCTTTTTCATTTTCTCTATTATCAGAATTGGCTAAAGTATTATTATTATAAATTTTGTATATATACAAGTTTACCTCTTTCTGGTGATAATAAGTTCTTGAATGACATTTTAACTTGATAATTTTATTTTTTCTCTGTAGAAAAATATAAAGAATGTAGTAATCATCCCCTTTCCATTTATATTAATTATTATAAGATAAGGTTTGAAAACAATAATAGTACTAACTTTTAAAGGTTTAAAAAAAATATATTAAAATATACTTGATCTTCCTGCGATAAACAAAAAAAATCATGTGGGAATTTCCCTCTATTTAAAAATTTTTTTTTAAAAAAAAAAAATGAAAAAAAATGAAGCAGTCAGGAAAGCCTGGCTGGCAATCTTCAATAATACTTAACACATTAACAATTAATACATTTAATATTTTTTAAAAAATAAAATAAAAAATATTACGACACTACTACAACAATAAATATTGCATATATATGATATATATTAATTATATAAAAACAAGCTACAATCGCACACACACATATATTTATGTATATTAATAATATAAGCAACAAACATTCAACATTTATTTGATTTTTCAATTCATGGAAGCAACTGTTTAATAATAATATAAATAAAAGCTAGCTCTAAATCATTACTACTACAATAGATAATAATAATAATTAATAAAGAAGAGATTATTAATTGGGAGAAAACTACTCTAGCACGGGGTCAAAGAAATCCAATGTACTAAATGAAGTTATAGGTACAAGATCGATAACAAGAGCAGCAGTTGTAGTCCCTGGCACTTTTCAAAGCACAGCTAGCACTAACACACCTCCTGCCGATTCAACTACTAGAAACACGCCTCTTCCTACCTCAATCACTAGCAACGATATAATTTCCTCTGAATCAAGCAATCTAAACAACAATCAAGTTACATATAATTTGCTGAGACAGTTGGTAGTACCTTTAACTACTTCACAACGGGGGCATTATTGAATTAAAAACGGCAGAGACAATAGTGTCAGAAAGACAGCCAATAAATAGTAATAACAGCATAGTTGATCTTGGTAGTAGTTCTAGGAAAGAGACAACCTAATATCAAGCACTGCTCCAAGATTGACAACACCAATCCTGAGAACAACAATAACACAAACAATGCTAATGACATCACCAACAAAACTATCAATAATATCGCCAATAGCACCAACTGTAATGTCACAACTACAGAAATCGAATCCATTCGGAGAGTTGTCAGCACTAGCGGCGAGGATCAAATTGAAAGCTACAATAAGTGGCGCTCATAGGCTACTACCACAACAAAAAACATTGCTCAATCAAAGCTCGTCAAGCTTGACAAGTACATGTTTGGGAACAGAGGGATACTCAAACATGCGCTATGATCTCGGTCGAAGGCGCAATTCAGCTTGAACAACAAAGGAAGACCATGATGGCAAAATCAATATTATTATTAATAAATATTGCAACAAAAGCAGCAAAAATCCTCATACCATTAATTCCACCAATTCAATAGCAAAAATTAACAACTACAATGAGAATTTCTCAAGTAAGAGCATTGGAATAGGAAGGGGAAGTGATAACAATGATGATAATAATAAACGATAACGATATTGATAACAATATTGATAATAACAAGAAAAATAATGATAATGAAAACAACACCACTCTAACAACAACAACAACCACAACACATCAAAATAAAATTCCCCTCTTATATAACTGATATAGATGCTGCTAAGAACTGTTAGAACCATCAATACTATTTTACCATTAGCACAAAAATTGTGATTCTCGACTGACTAGACAAGAAAGATATTTAAAGTAAACATACCCATCAACATTTGAGAAATTGAAACTCTGACCAAGCAGCACCCCAAGTTGATACATTATACAAGGTCCGAAGGAAGGCCTCGGGCATAGCTTCAGAAATCTGAGAGGAAACAAAATAGAACCTCCCATCCATAAAGTTGAACCCTGAAGCATCTGCCCAGAAGGAATTAGAATTAGAGAGTGTAGCAGGGCTGTATGACCCTGCCAACATACCATTAGAATCATTCAGAATGAACCCATGCGGTTTGGTCCCTAAAAAGGGATAATGTCAGAAAGGTCAGAGTTATCCATCATCACTTGGCCCAATTTTCTTCAGCATTAATGATGATATTGAGAAAGAGATTTTCCACACATCCTATGAGAACGTTGGACATGTCGAAAAGTGGACCCGCACATTTGGAAAGGGGTACTTGCTATACAAATTGGATACTAAAGATCAATACAGTATTCTACCAGTTGATCCTTTGAGTAAACATTACAAGGGTTTGCCTGTATTGACAAGAAGCTTGCTTTCAGTAATAGAGATTCAGCCGGGACCTTTTGTAGGTTTGCTGGTTTACTAGATTGGATTGCAAATTATTTGGGCGTTCCTGCTGTCGTTCGCCATGTCGACGATTTTCTCCTCATTCTCCTACTACACCAACAGCAGTAGCCTGCAAATTCTTGGAAGTTTTTAAGGCAATGTTGGTTTTTCTTGGAATCTCCTTTAAGATTCGAATTGATCGGTTCCGTTGATGAATTAATTTTTCTTGGCATTTCGTTGAGTACTAGAGAGCTGTCAGTCTCAATACCTACGCAAAAGAGACCGAGACACTGATGATTATAAACAAACTGAAGAATTGCAAATACTGCACTGTGATGCAGAGCTACGTTCTATCTTGGTTGGTTTTCCAGGTTCATTCAGCAGAAAGACACTTTGTACAGGCCATCCATAAATTAAAATTAACTGGCGGAAAGAGAAAGAGCAAATGCAACAGAAATCATCGCCACACCGGCAATAAAGGAGGAGTTGGCCTGATTAGAAGTTACTCTAAACGGACGGAATGAGGGCGTATCTGCGCCTTTATTAAATTTCCCTTCACTAGCAGTTAATACAAATTCAATTCTCACATTAAACTCGAACATTTTGTGATAAAGTTATAACATCTCAACAAAATTTTTCTCAACGAAAAATAAAGAATCACAAGTAAATGTGAGAATAATAATAATAATAATAATAATAATAATAATAATAATAATAATAATAATAATAATAATAATACATGTAAGAACGGATGATGTTTTTATGCAAAAATATTTCCTTATTTATATCTCTTTGATCAAGATTGACAAGGTTTTTCATGAATTAACTGACTGAACACAGACTTTCCGCTTAACTTAACGTTAGTAAATTGAAAAAACAAAAAAAAAAATCATTAATAATAATAATAATAACAGATTCATCGTACGGAATGTTACAAAGCGCAAAATTAACGTATTTTAGTTCACCTTAAGTTTTATTATAAAAGGTATTTCGATTCGTAGTATTAATATTAATAATAATATTACTTACTCTTTTATTGGACGTAACTTTATTCTCCATTTACGTTGACACGTAAACCTTGCTTATCTCTCAAATTATAATAAACACTTATGTATGAATTGTTTTATTTATTTTCGCTACATATGTATATTGTAAAATAATCATTATAATTTGCATGAAACCTACGCAACGTAAAAATTATAACCAAAAATGAAAAATAAACATCAATATAAGATAAAAGTAAAAGAAAAATGCAATTTATATTGTCAAAAATTTTAAAGTAATAAATAAAGCTATCAAAAGAACTAAAGAGCAAATACTACCTTATTTACTATTTAAAATAGAATGAAAACCAACAGTTAATATGTTTACAAAAACAATTATATTGACTGCAATAATAGTAAATGATGAAAATACTTACTTCCCATTTATTATTTAAAATATAATAAACTATGAAAATACTTACCCACTATTTATTATTTAAAATAAAATGAAATAACAGTTAATTTCAAAAACAATGATATTGACTGCAATAATAGTAAATGATGAAAATACTTACTACCTATTATTATTTAAAATAATATGAAAACTATAGTTAATATGTTTCAAAGCAATGATATTGACTGTAGTAATAGTAAATTATGAAAATACTTACAGGCTATTCATTATTAAAATAAAATGAAATCAACAGTTAATATTTTTTTCAAAAACAATGATATTGACTTAATGTCAATTGTATATCTTTGGGTAGATTTTCTTAAGGCCCTGTATTCTAAATCTACATATTTTCCATCATTTAATACTGTTGTGGGCACTCTACTTAAAGTGTCAATGTCACTGACAAATTTACGAATTCAATATAATAATAACAGACATTATTATTATATTTTGTTGTGTTAAAGGCAATGTAAAAGATATAGATGATTATGAGGATGTTGCATTGAAATTAATAATTAAATATGGGGCTCGAAATTTTCACTTGGTATTAGTATTATTAGTCGCTATACTTTTTGCAAGGAAATTGTGGTCACTTGATCTTAAATAGGATATTCCAACAATAATTGTTGGTGGAATTTTATGCAGAAGTTTATGTTATTATCATTATATGGAAAGTTCAAAAATTTAGTCGTATATGCATATATAAATATAAATATTAATTAATTAATTAATTAATAATATCGTTAGCTGTCACCCAACCCAGGTGTTTTTAATTCTTTCAATCGATTATCATTCATAAATAACTCTACCATCGAGTGAAGGTGTGTCTCCCATGAGTTTCCTGCAAGGATTTAGGTGATGGTTTGTAAATTCCCGGAAGACCAAGTGGTTGTCTTGGATCATTGATCATTTTAGTCCCCGAGAGATGACACTATTAATATTAATTTTTACATCGCGTCGTGCTACCAAATAACAAAAGTTGTCTTATCATTGAAGAATCACGCCAATTTATGAAGTAGATTTTGTACAAAAAATCTTATTTCTATAATAGTAAAGGCAATTTTTTTTAATTTCAAAATCAAAAAATCAATTTTATACCACCAAAAAAGAAAAAAGATACTTGACTTTAAACTTCTTTTGTCACTCAAATATCTAGTGGTTATATTCAGATACCTTTCACAAAATTTTGATATCCGAATTCTCGAGGTTTAAAGATTTTCTGAAAAAAATATTTGTTGCGAAGTCTTATTCCTTTTTAGTATGTTGATTTTACTACGTTAGGAAGTTAAATTGGAATTATTTATTTTAACGCGCGTTGGTGTATGTAATCTTTTATTTTTCACTTCCATTATTGAAACATAAAAGTAAAGTTCAACAATGCCTCCTAAACGCCAGAAAATAATCATTTAAGTTTTTAAATGACACTAGAACACAAAAAAAACTTAAAGATTTTAATGGAATAATGATTGGTTCAAAAGGTAGATCTGAATTGTCATTTGACAGTGAGATTAGACGATGAAGTTTGGTATTATGAGAATGATTTTAACCTTCAATATTTGACAAAATGATGGCAGCAAGTGCAACTACTACCAATAATATTATTATTCGACGCTAGGTCTCTAAACTTAACACTTTCTTTATTACGAATATTGTGTTTTTGTCTTTGTCATTCATTTTAAGTAATGAAATGAACGTTAAGAGAAATTTTTTTTATCGTTGACAAAAACTATTTGGACTGCATGTATAATTAAATTGCGAATTTTTATTAATCGACATTGCAGGTGTATATATGGATATAAAGTATTTAATAAAATTATATTTTATTATTTTCTTTAGTTTATACATATAAAATATAATCCTAATAACAAATGTATATTAAATGTCATCTGAATTATGCGTTAATGTTCCTTTCTGAATGCTATCTACTTGGCATCCAATCAACCAAGAAATATTAACACTCTTTGTTTAAACTTATAAATCTTTACCAGATAACTGGTTCAGGAACATCAGGTCCGAAATCATGTTTATAAAAATTTGATGTACAAGATCCCTCTTGAGGATCTTTATGACAAAATTTACAAATTTCCATACACCCGGGAGAATTTAAATCATTAGAGCAACCATTGCAAACAGGTGTACAACCAATATTGTTACCAACTTCAATGCCACAACATGAATAATAATCTCTACAACCGTTATTACCATTATTAGAATCAACTCCACAACAATCATATTTCTTCCTACACTTTGTCATTTGTCTGCAACAGTCATGACGATCTCTGCAGCCTTCACTATTATCTTCTCGTTGACAACAATCATAAACTGTTTCACATCCATTAGTGTCTGCTCCTACTATCTGATTACAACAATCATGTTTTTTTACACAAGGTTCGAAATTATTGCAACAATTATATTTTTCTCTACATCCAATACTGCCCTTTGATTGTTTACAACAAGCATAAGAACAGCCATCTGAACCTTCTCCCCAACCACAACATCCATGAATTTTTGGAGTATGAACAGTTCTCTGTAGATTAACAAGTGAAAATGTTAAAGCTCTTGCAATTACTGGAAGTACGTTATTATCATTAGTTTCATACTGGTGTCCTACTGCTACTAA